TTCTCTTTGATGCATGCGAGAGTTCTATACTGTTGATCTTGTGCTTGATTTTCATAGAAGAATGCCCTAGTTCCTCATAATCGTTGTTTTTGCTGGATCTTGCTAAAGAAGCAACGTCTTTATTGGAAAAATTTTGGGTTTTTTTGCTGGATCTTGCTATACTTCAAACCTAAGATATGATTTAATCTCAACTCAGAATTGATTTGTTTAAAATTTCGTATGATTTAGAATTGACATTTCAAAAATTTTGCATTTTCTATAATTATCTAAAAATTAATTGAAAATTATCTGAAAAAATAACTATAATTAACTAAAAATATTACTTAAAATATTACTGAAATTAACTAAAAATTATATTAATTATTATAAATATAACTGAAAATATTATTGAAATGAACTGAGAATTATCTTAAATTATCTGAAATTAACTAAAAATATTACTGAAAATATTAACTGAAAATTAACTTTAGATCTTGCTATACGTCATTTAAGTTTTGATTATTGACATTGCATATGAATGTTTGCTAAGTATATTAATTATTTCAATTTGATTTTTACATCGTAGATGAATAGTGATGGGGATTGTACCGATGAACAAAATATTGTTAATATGGTTCAAGGTGCTGCACTATCCGTTTTTGTTATAATAATTACATTCATAAGGAGGATGCAAGCTAGACGTAAATCAATACGTAGTGGTCCAAGTGAGGAAAAAAAAGACGAGGGCTAGAATTGAACACATAGAGCTTATTTATAATGGTTTTAGTGATAGTTGTGTGAATTATATTAGAATGCGGAGTGGTGCTTTTATTAAACTAGCAAGTATAATGAGGAACAATAGGCTTCTAAAAGACTAAGGAATATAACAGTGGAAGAACAGCTTATTATGACACTGAACATTTTGGGTCATAAATCTAAAAATCGCATTGTAAGATCTCATTTCATAAGATCAGGGAAGACAGTCAGCAGATATTTTAACAAGGTTTTACAAGCAATTATTTGCCTGCGTGGACGCTACATGAGGCAAGCCCCCAATGATACTCCCCAAGAGATCGTTAACAACCAGCTATACTATCCTTATTTCAAAGTATATCTACACTTTAACCATAGTTACATGTATAATCAATAAAAATAAATGATAACTTAGTAATGTGATACATGTATTATAGGATTACATTGGTATGATAGATGAGACCCATGTTGATGCAATGCTTCCGATTAGTCTTGTTGTACGATTTCGAGGCCGCAAATGTGTTACACAGAACGTGCTTGTAGCTTGCACCCCAAACTGTTCACATATGTCTTAATAGGTTGGAAGGGTCTGCAAATGATTATAGGATTCTCCATAATACATTATCTAGACCACAACCACATGGATAAAAGTCTATGATGATAATTATATAAAAATTTAACTTAAAATATTTTAAATTTAATATGCAAACTTGACTTCCTTAATAACTTTTTAATAAAATTATAGAAAATACTATCTGTATGATGTTGGGTACCCCACCATGTCAAGTTTCATATCTTCATATCATGGTGTTCAATATCATTTGAAAGAACATTCGGGTAATACACCTAATAATAGAAGAGAATTATTCAATCTAAGACATTCTTCTTTGAGGTCTAAGATTGAATCTGCATTTGCCACATTGAAAAATCGTTTCAAGATTTTATGTGCTAAATCGCATTACCCATTTCCTACACAAGTAAATATCGTATTAGTATGCACGGTACTTCATAATTTCATTGCAACTGTTGATCCAAGTGATGAACTACTTAGCAAGTTCAAAATTGATGAAGATATTGATGATGAGGTGACAAATGAGAATGACAATAATTTTGTTAATTTTACTCAGACTCAAACCCAAAAAGAGCAAACTGAATCAATAAATGAGTGGAAGACTCTTAGAGATGACATTGCTTGGGCGATGTGGGTGGACTATTGTGATAAGTATAATCATGGTTTAACCACTGAGACTTAATTCTCATATTTGTTGTACTATTTGTGCTCATGTATGTACTCTTTAACTCTATGTTTTGCTTTGTCCACTTTTTAGTTTTTGCTTTTCATTCATGTATTCATGTTTTACTTCTTCCAGTTATTTTGTTTTGCAATATCTTTAATGTATTCAAGTTTTGCTTATTTCACAAATTATATAATATCTAATTCTCACTATTTAATTAGTGATAACTGATAATACATCATTAAGTGGGAAAGATAATCATAAAGACAATGGTGTAGCGCCATCTCAGTCTACACCCCCTCAATCCCCTCAGTCATTGCATCAATGTGATAGTGGGTATTTTCCTTTTCAGCGGTCATACTTTGGACAACCACCTCATGCATTTACCAACATGTCATTCCATGATGACAGATACTTCCCGATGCACCCTCATTTTGCGTCATATACGAGCATGCTAAGTTCTCCTACTTTGTCTTTATAATTCCATAGTCCTAATATTAGTGGGTTGTAACTTTCTCCCACTAGTAGTTATGGCTCAACTCCCGAATCAGGTTCCAAATGGATTGTCATAGAAGAAGGGGAAGAAACATCACAAAATCCAAAGAAAAAAAGGAAAAACATCTCAACAAAAAAAATAGTGAGACTGACGGTTCTCAAGGTAACAAACATATGTTTTGGGATTCCCGTTACGATGATGAGCTCATTCTATTTCTTGTCGACTTGGTAAGAAATGGTTACAAACCCGATAAAAGCTTTAAGAGAACCAATTTTTATATGGTTTCCCAACATATTAATCAGAATTTTAACACAGTATTCAAACGGGAAAACGTCATGAACCGTATTAAAACTTTACGTACAAGATTTTGTGATATGAAAACTTGTCGTAATCTTAGTGTTGCCAGTTGGGATGATAGTACCAAGCAATGTTACATTAAACGCTGGGCACTTCTAGGCGTCGGACTTGGCGCCCAGCGCTTAGTCGCCTAGGCGGGCGCCTAAGCGATTTCTGGGCGTTTTTTTCTTTCTTCATTCAAGTGGTGGTCGATGAGGTTTTGCTGAAGGTCGGAGGAGGTAGTGGAGATGTTCATATTTGGAGGTTAATGGAATTTGGAGGACGTGTAGGCTACGTCACATAAAATCACAATCAAGGCCTACATGGTGTAATCTACGTAAGCAGACAATGCTCCCTTAAACGATCGTAAAATCTAGGTGGGCAGCCTAAATACCGTCTAGGCGCTAGGCGCTAGTTAGACGGTCTAGGTACCGCCTAGGTCTAGACGTACGCCTAAGCGGACTAGGCGGAGGTTTTTTAAAACAGTGGTACCAAGACTGTCATCATGGATCCTGAATATTTGGATAGGTGGATTAAGGTAAATAAACTATTTTTGCATTTTCATTGACTAATTATCTTATTTTCTTGTTTTCATTGAATTAATTCAACTATACTTTTCAGGACAAGAGCTTTAAGAATGCTAAGTTTAGACAATACATCAATAAACCTTTGATGCATTATGATGATCTTGCCCTCATCATCGGGGATGATCAAACTAGAGGGGAATTTGCTAGTGATGGTGGTCGATGAGGTTTTGCTGAAGGTCGGAGGAGGTAGTGGAGATGTTCATATTTGGAGGTTAATGGAATTTGGAGGACGTGTAGGCTACGTCACATAAAATCACAATCAAGGCCTACATGGTGTAATCTACGTAAGCAGACAATGCTCCCTTAAACGATCGTAAAATCTAGGTGGGCAGCCTAAATACCGTCTAGGCGCTAGGCGCTAGTTAGACGGTCTAGGTACCGCCTAGGTCTAGACGTACGCCTAAGCGGACTAGGCGGAGGTTTTTTAAAACAGTGGTACCAAGACTGTCATCATGGATCCTGAATATTTGGATAGGTGGATTAAGGTAAATAAACTATTTTTGCATTTTCATTGACTAATTATCTTATTTTCTTGTTTTCATTGAATTAATTCAACTATACTTTTCAGGACAAGAGCTTTAAGAATGCTAAGTTTAGACAATACATCAATAAACCTTTGATGCATTATGATGATCTTGCCCTCATCATCGGGGATGATCAAACTAGAGGGGAATTTGCTAGTGATGCTTGGAAAAAAATTAATCGTAGCGAGTCCATAAATCTTGGAGATGCTGACTCACCTTTGCCTGCCTCACAATCCCCTCAAGTACACAATTTAGATGAGGACACTCCTCCGCCTAAGGAAGCACCCCACACATCAATTTCTAAAGCAAATGCATGTGTTGCTAAGAGAAAGGCTCGTAGGACCAACCTCGATAATGAGCTCATGCTAAAAATGGTGGATAAGATAGATGTATTTAGTGCAAGCATGAAGTGTGTAAATATGCATTGGACCGAGAAGTTATTCATGGTCCTATATGCTCATTTACAAGACTTTAGTGTTGAAAAGCTAGATACATACTACTGTCACCTCTTTTTGAATGAGCATGAAGCAAGACTATTTATGGGCATATCTTCGGTTGGTCAAAAAGAGATGATTGATGCATTTCTCAACAAAGAGAGTTGAAGACTGATAAACTATGTGTACGTGGTATTTTTTGATTCTCACTTCTAACATACTTGTGAAATCCATTTACTTTTGGTGAAAGACTTATTGTTTAACTTAGGGAACTACTCTTAGGAATGTTATTTTTGTGGTTGTGAAACATTATAATGATGGAACATATTATTGTAATATGTAGTAAGTATTTATATGTTTCCATATTGTAATATTTACCTTTCATGATGTGAATGTTGTAGAATACTAACTTTTATATTGAAATTGTGACTGCAACAACTTTATAAGTCACCATACGAACATGACAATTGATAAAATTTCCTAAGATGCAAGCAACTTACAATGTGCACACATTGTATTGGATGGCTATTGCGTCGGGTTAGTAAGGTATTCGATTTTCATGCCACGAGATTACATCGGTGACTTCTTTACTTTAGACTATGATGATTGTCAAAATTTCTGAGATTAACAACCTGTAATATCTATTAATATTACACTGGATGACTAATTATAGCAATGATGATATTGATAAAGTTCTGAGCCCTAAGCCGTAATTTACATATGCTCGCGCTTGAATTATACATTTACTTCAAACATTTCCTTAACGCAACATTACTTTCCTGCATGTTACATACATATTTTGGTTTCTATCTCCATAATTGTAATGGGTGAGACTGTTTATGCTAACAGACTCATGTTGCTGTTTGTGGAGGCCTGTTTGTGCAGGCTTTGTGGTTGAATCAGTTTTGTGTGCACACATTGTTATGAAAATTGTTTGTAAACAGTTTTGTGTTCAGGCAGTGAGTGGCAGCCTGGTTGTGTTCAGGAACTTGATCAGTTACTATGTGGACGCTGTTTTGTTTTCGGGTTTAGATATTGATGCTCAGATTTTGTTCTGTTCAATCTTATTGGTTGAATGTTTTGTTATCAGTTTTGTGTTCAGGTACACTTTTGTTTTCACGATCAGAGGTGCTGCTCATGGGTTCTTGGTGCTCCTGAATGTTGATATTTTTTGTGTTCAGGCATTGATTTTGTACACTGTTTGTGTTCAGGCACTTGGAATACATTTTGTGTTCAGGATTGTGCACTGTCTTGTGTTCAGGTTTTGTGCACTGTCTTGTGTTCAAGGGTTTTGTGCATTGTTTGTTCTCAGGTTTGTGTTCAGACAGTTTTGTGTTCAGGCGCTGATTTTGTATGATGCTTGTGTTCAGGCACTTGGTATATCATGTGTTCAGGTTTGTTCAGTTTTGTGCTCAGTTTTTGTGCACTCTCTTGTATTCAGGCATTGTTTTTTGCGCACTGTTTGTGCTCAGATTTGTATTCAGCCAGGTTTGTGTACATATTTTCAGTTATTGTGCATTGTTTGTGTTCAGCCCCTTGGTATTTTCTGTGTTCAAGTTTGTGAGAAGTTTTATGCTCAGATTTTGTGAGACTGTCATGTGTTCAGGCAGTTTTGTGCTCAGTTTTGTGAGACTGTTTCGTGTTCAGTGGGTATTTGTGAGACTGTTTTGTGTTCAGGTTTTTGTTCAGGTGAAGTTTTATGTTCAGTTTTGTTGCCGTTCATTGTTTGTGAAGTTTTGTGTTTAGTTTTGTTGCCTATCAATGTTTTTGTTTAGACTATGATGATTGTCAAAATTTCTGAGATTAGCAACTTGCAATATATATTGATATTGCACTGGATGGCTAACAATGATGATATTGAGCAAATTCTGAGCCCTCGGCCATTACATACATGTTTGGTATTTCCAGGTTTGATGCGATTTGCTATGTTATATACATATTTATGGCTAATCAGCTTGTTTATATGTTTTTATAGGTTTCATAAGAATTTCTGGCTAATTTAAGTACATATTTCATAAAATTATGAATAATCAGGGTATTACAGGTCTCGTTTATTTTTTTCTTGGAAAACTGGTTCGTGTGATTTTTTTCATCTCAAACAGGTATATTTTAGGTCAAATTAGGTAGGCAGTTCATAGCAATTGATTCATGTTATTTCAGGTTTCGTATGATTTTTTTAAGTCAAACAAATATTTATAATGAATTCGGGAAATTACTATTTGTTCATGTTACATTCGCACTTTTATTTCGTTAAGATTACCTCCCATAACGATCACAAATATATTTGTCTATAGTGGGAGTAATCTTACCATGGTGACCATATACATTTTTCCTACACACTTCAAAACCAACCAAACACAAGAAAAGTGGGAAATGTCAAGTCAACAAAAGTTTTTCCTTTTTTTCCATGCAAACCAAACAGAAGAAAAGTCAGTACATTAGTTTCCCACCATATTTTATGTGCGAACCAAACCAAAACAATCTATTTCTTGGAAAAGTTTGGAAAACTCAAAACTTGTGTTCCTTTACATGGAATTGCATTTCCCTATATATAGAAAACGAACCAAACAGCCCTTATACAGAAACTCTAATAGAAAGAAAAGCAGAGAGACTGACTAAATTTATTAATGAGGTACAAGATAAAGACTGTCAAATTCGTGAAGAAGAAGCTACTGGTCAGAGAGAACGTTGCCATAAAACTTATAAGAATATAAGAACCCAAATGAATACCGAAGAACCTATGACCAAGAGGACAATTCTATCAGGAGTAAAAAAAAACATCACTGATGTACATGTACCTTTAATAAAGGGAAAATGTAAGCGTCAGTGCATTGTTCATGAAATTGTATGATTAATTTAGAAAATCTCTAGGCCAACTATATTCTTCATTCTTTATGAATTAATTAGCACCATACAAGCTTAGTCCCCTTCTCCCTTCTTACTATTATTTTCACCAAATGTCGAAACAGTTTTAGTGGATCAATGTTAGAATCCTTTCGGAGACTGTATGTGTAGTGGAGGATGCTTACTTAACAAGATCAGAAACTTCAGCCATGAATGCAGATATGACGGATTCAGGTACTTCAGCTTGTCTTTCTTCCTCAATGGTCTCACCAACTTTACCATTCAACGGTTCTTTTTTCAACGCGTTTGATGTTGAAGAATTATCGGTTGAGACCTTAAAAAAACAATTGATTAAAGCAAAAGAAATGAAAACAGAAACCGAAGAGCATTTTTTAAGTTTTTCGCCAGTAAAATCACACACCTGGGCCCTCAGAACAGGGAACTGCCTCAAATTGGGACCCTGCAAAAGAATCCTAACCAAATGAAATGTATATAGATACTCTTCGCCCGTATTCATGACAGAAATCCTTAACCAATAAAAACTTCGAAATTTCCTTGGTAAAGTAATTAAATAAAAAAATGCAACTCAAGATCTATCCTTTATAATCTGCCTAGGCTTTTAACTAGCTATTTCCAGTTTGAAATACATGAACAGCATTTCCTAGAGACTATCCAACTCTAGAATGGAAGTGTTGAAGCTGTTGAAGTAACTTATATACCAAATTAAAATTTTGAGCTCAAATACACATAAATTGGAGGTCTGGATACTGTACCACTGAATCCAGCAACACAGAAGAAAAGAAAAAATCATAATGAATATTCAATTTAAAGTAGAGCGCAGCTGTAGAATCACAAAGTTGGTTATTATTCCAAATCTACTAAAATTCAAATCTTTGCGTAACTCTATAAAATTAGAGCAGGGAAAAGAGGGGGACTGACCTTCAACGACGGAATCTGGGCGAATCCAAGGAGACGGCCGCATTGCGGGAGATCGCGGAGGCCTTAGGGCATGGAACTGAGATCGAAGCCATTGGAGATCCTTGAGAGAGAGAGAGAGAGAGAGAGAGAGGGAGGGAGGAGAAGATGGAACCCTAGATTGAAGACGAGGAGGCTAATGATAGGGAAGCTGGGGCCGGGGAGAATTAAAGAGGGAGAAGACGACGGAGAGATCGATGCAAAATGAGCTTTGGGAGTTTTTTCGGATGAGGGAGGTGGAAATCTCCGCCCTTGGGTCGACACAAACGATGGATGGGTTCGGGACCCACTTTTATTTTTCCGCCTATTTTGGGGTCCTGAATTGTGGTCAAGAATTGTCTGTTCACCCACGCATTACATATCTGTGGGGCCCCATGCAGTTGACGGCTGGATATGTGGGTGAACAACGTACTAGTTCGGGCTTTCCTAAGAGATCCCCGTTACGATGGACCCGACCCATCCGTGCTTGGAGAGGACCTCGTCCCGTCCGGTTATCGCAAAGTGGATAAATAGGTAATTATCACTTAAAGAACCTTCTCAAAATTGTTGAGTATATATATACTAGTTGAGATGCACGTGTAATGCACGTGATTGAATATCATATTTTATTTAAATTGATAAAAGTAAAATAAAAATAAAAAAAACAAAGTTTTTTTTTGGGATTGATAGAAGTGAAAATTTAATAAACTTTTACCAAACGGAAGTAAAACTGCAAATTACAAACACCTTTAAAATATTACAAAGAAGCAGTTGAGAAGCAACACTTGTACTTGAAGAATTGATTAACTTTTATTCTTTGAAAAATATTACAAAGAATAATATCATCAAGGTATGGTTCAACATTATCCGTATCATAGAAATAAAATTGAAATTATGAAGAATTGTTTTCTTACGAAATTAGAACAGGGAGATTATGATATATTTCTCATGTGTTCTAAATACATTTTTCTTCTTTGATTCAAGGTCTCTATCATATCTTGATCCAAATGATGTGAATGAAAATTTCTATTATAACTTACTTGCATATGGTAATTGTATTGTATATAGGATATATAACTCATCTAGAATATCCAAATCTGCTAAGTGGATTTTGCTATTGCGAGAGAAAATTGTTAGATGCTTGTATTCAAACTTTTTGGCTCTATGAAACACACAATAATTTAGAGTGCATAGCTTATATATTGTAAAGAACATACTGGTTCATGAAGAATTTTCCCTAATAACAATATTATTACAACGATACTACTATTCAATATTAAATAAATTTATTATATAAGATTATATAACCCTTTTAATAAATTATAAAGTATATATATGAAAACCTCAATGCTTATAGCCAATAGCCTCCTCGGATCAGACCGGAGCAAGGTCGCCATGGATATAGGCTTGGCTTGCCAAAATGATGGCATCTTTCAGGTTATCTTCGCGCGTATTAAAATGAGTTGAGGTGTGACAAGTACTGCTACTGAAATTAAGAAAAAAGTATATATTAGGCCAGCACTTAGAAGTATTAACCAGCTAAATTTTGTAAGAAATTAATTAGTCATAAAAGAGATTTGTTTTTCATTTACCCAAAAAGAAAAGGCTTCTTAAGATTAGTAAGGTAGTTGAGGAGTTCCGTTTGAGTACTGCGTGGAAAGGTTGGGAAACTAAGTAGCTCTTTTCATGGGAAAATATTTTTTCTTATGACTATTAGAAGTTATAGACAAGAAGGATGAATATATATATATATAGGGAGAGGTTCTAATAAAAACCTCCTTAGCCTAAAAACTAAAAACCTCCTTCATCCAATGGCTAGGATTCAGTCAAACAGTCAACAGACACATGCATTAATTACCTCATTAAACACATACATTAATTACATCAACGCAGTGAATCCGGATTCACTGCAGTGAATCTGGATTCACTGCAGTAATTCGAGATACGTTGAGGTAGTGAATCTGGATTCACTGCGTTGAGGTAATTAATGAGGTAATTAATACATGTGTCTGTTGACTGTTTGACTGAATCCCAGCCATTGGAGGGAACCTCGATGCTTGGATGCTTGTTGTAGCCAGTAGTTGGACTCCACAAAATTGGTTTATTTTACGTTGTAGTTACTAATTTGATACACATAACTATGGAATAAATCTCAAGTAAAAAAATAGGAATTGAGATTGTATAATCCTGTAGTTAAATAAATAAATGTTATTAGAGCTTCTCTTTATATTAAATTTAAAAATAATAATTTAAATTAGTAAGCGTCAAATATTAGTTCATGTTAAAGTAATCTATGGCCTCTATACTTATTTAGTCAATCAATCAAACATATTAAAATTATGATGACCACAGTCAAAATTATATGGTGGATTCACATTAAATATAATTTATAAAAATAGTACATTAAAGTTAAAATCCTTTTAACCACTATATAGATTGTCTGAAAATATTTTCATATATAAACTATACTATTTAGAAAGAGTGGTGTGCACTTAACTATGGCCTACTACATCTTAAGAACGACTTACTCTTAATTATCATTATTAATTGATGAATCTATGCATTACATTGAATACACAAAAAAAATTTAGAAAACTATGAAAGAAACACCCTCAAAGTTATAAAAATTATAAAAAAAACACCCTAATATTTTGTAATTTACAAATATACAAAACTATTAAACATAACATTGAAATTAAGGAATTGCAAAATATCATTGAAAAATTTTAAACTTTGGAGGGGTAATTTGTAATGTACTAAACTTTAAGGGTGTATTTTATAAATTTCAAATTTAATAGTTTTTTAATTAGTTATGTTCTTTTTCAAAAAAGTTATGGCTAATATTGACTATGAAAAGTATTTCCTAAACCTATATTTTTAAAGGGAGTATGATATTTTTTACAAATTTTTAGTTTTCTAAGGGTTGTTAGTAAGTTTGTATATATATTTTAGTGTTTATAGTTTCTCATGGTGTTTTTTTAAATAGTTATGAATTTTAGGGGGTTTTTGTAATTTTTAAACTTATAGGTCATTTCTACATATTGTAAATTGTTTATAGACTATTTATAATTCCTTTATTTTCAATTTACTAATGAGTTTGTAATTCCCAGGAAATTTTTTTGTAAAATTTAAATTTTGAGTTTTTGTTTTTAAATTTTGAAATTTTAATGGTGTTTTTTTATAAATTATAAATTATGTAGTGGATATTTATAATTTATATATTTTCAATATACTATTAGGTTGGAAATTATTAGCATTTTTATAAATTTTATAATTTTGAGGATTATAATTTATAATTTAAGGTTTTTAGTGTGTTTATAGTTTTGAAATTTTCAAGGTGTTTTTTACAAATTTTAAAATTTTAATGGTGTTTTTACAATTTTTAAAACTTACAAGATATTTTCTCCAAAGTCAAAAAACTTATAGTTTCTAGCTAAGATATATTTTTATATTTCTCAATAAATTGAAATAAGTAAAATTTATAATTTTTAAGGTGTTTTAATAAAATTTTGAATTTGTAGGGGTGTTTTTGCTATTTAAAAAACTTAGAGGATATTTTTTACAAATTCTAAATAATTTTTGGTGCTGGCTAGCATATATTTTTTTTATATTTCTCTGTGAACTGAAATAAATAAATAATTTAAATTATATCAAACGTATCTCCTTTATCCAATAACATGTTAAATATCATTATGAATAGGATAAATTATTTAATTACCAATTCAAAGAAGATAGGATAATTAAAATAGATTAGAATAATTTATGAATAGGATAAATTATTTAATTACCAATTCAAAGAAGATAGGATAATTAAAATAGATTAGAATAATAATGTAATATTCAGAAAAAGTTAAGGATAATATTGACCATGAAAAGATTTTCCCGAACACGTATTTTTAAAAGAAAGTATGATTAAGGGTAATATTGACCATGAAAAGATTTCCCGAACTCGTACTTTTAAAGAGACTAGTTTTTACACACGTGCAATGCACGTGATTTAATATCATGATTAAGTATTTTTTACAGTTTGTGCTTATTTTTTTCTTTAAACTATTACATCCCGGTTATTTTTTTATATTTGTTTAAATGGGATACACCCAATTTAAATTTTCGTGTTGATATTTGAATTGACAAAAAATAAATATAATTTAAAAATAATTTGAATATTCATATTATTTTTGACAGATATGAAACTAAGCTTTATTTGAGAAAGTATAGCATTGCAAAGTAAAAAATATTAAAATAGTGTTATACAAGGAAGGTGAATATTTAAAACCAATATGGCAAAATGATTGATTTAAAGTATGTTAAAACGATGCAAAAGAGAATATGAAGTTTATTCCTAATCATTGATAGACTTCATAAAAAAATATAAATTAAAGATTAATACTAACTCTAGTATACTTTTATATGATAAAAACATCCACATAAGAATATAAAAGTACTGAAAAAAATTCATGAAACTCCCTTCTAAAGATTCCTAATTTCACTCAAAATAATTAAACTATTCTATAAAATATTCATAAAATATTGTTTTTATTTCTTCTATTTTATTTTTTATTGAGTTAAGATCAATCCTTCTTCAGGTTTATCATTTATCATTTCTCGGACAATTCTAGAGTATTGTCTTCATCATCTACATCAATTGTGACATCAGGCTAATTTTATATTTTTTATGCTATTATCTTTCCTGGGCTCGTTAATTTTTTATCATCTCATTTAACTTTACAAAGAAGTCAAATGTACTTATGATGTTCAACACAAACTGCTCAAAATATAGACTTTGATTTTTTTTCTATTTCAATGAGAATAAATATTAATTTCATATATATAAAATTCTTTGTGTTCCTAATTTATTACTTAAATAAATTAGAAGCTATCTCTTTATTTTCCTCTAAAATGAATTCTTCTGATGTGCATCCAATAAGAATTTCTGTTATTTCAATAATATTACCTTTGCTCTATCCCTGTCATTTTCCATAAAGATCTAAACTAAATACCTGCATTATTCATTACCAATTTCTCTTAGATTATAATATTAATATTTAATTTGAAGAACACAGTATGGAATTTATGAATACTTACTAATTTTTCTTATGTCTTCCATGGAGATTTTTTCTTTGATTAGGATAAAGTTATTAAATTATTTTTTAATGTAACTCATTCAGTGCTTCATTAATAGATATGTCTTATGTTAATGCCAATTCAAGTGATTCATTGACGTTTTCTGAATTTTAGATTTATTTCCATCACTTTCCCATTTGCAATGGAAATAACTCAATTCTTTTAAAGTTATCTCTAAATATTCTAATAGTTTCTCCATATGTAATTCCTTGTATTCTTTTACCCTATAAATATTATTAACGTCAAAGATTAAAGTTTCTAAATTAAAATCAATTAATGCTAAGGTATAATATTATAGTGTTTTATCATTTCTATGGATTTAAACATCTATCAATTAATGTTACGAATGTATTTTGGCTACCCCAACTTATTACTAAAATTATATGAAATTACTTTAATTTATATAGTGCCGATAATTTTTAATCTATAATATTTTTAAAAATTTTATCCATTAACCGGATGTTTTTAATCAATTCTTATTGTTTTTGTTTACCAGTATCAACTTAGACTATTCTTAGATGCTGAAAATGGATAGTAAATCCCTAAATTAGAAATTTTAATATATATATATATATATATATATATATATATATATATATATATATATATATATATATATATATATATATATATATATATATATATATATATATATATATATATATATATATATATATATATATATATATATATATATATATAT